GCCCCCCCCCCCCCCCGCTTTGGCCCTCTGTGCAACAGGTTTGATTAACTCTTATTAAAGGAGTCTGGAAGAGTTCAGCGTCATATTATGGTACATTCCGTAAATCAGCGTCATATTATGGTACATTCCATAAATCTTTATGCAGCACTGTGCCTTCACGTATTGCTGGGCCTTCACACACAAGTACATTTACCAAGGGTAGCATGGGGCATTGGACAATGTACTGGCTCTCAGCCCTCACTTACTAGCCTCACTTCCTTAGACAAGTTCCCCAACGTCTCTGAGCTGGGTTTTGATTTCTAAAATGGATATACTAGATACTCATATAATAAGTGAGAAATCTGCAGAAGAGGTTTCTAAACTAAAGTGTTATATAAATGCTAGATGATGTTACCATCATTATCTCACCATGAGAAGAATTTGTCAGAAATACCTTAAACCTATTAAGTTGGTAAATTGGGAATCTAGAAAATCTGAACTCAGATTTTCAGATGTGCTGGCTGGAAATAGGTAAAGGGAGTCAAAGGGTACGAACTTCCATTTATAAGATAAATAAGTCCTTAAGGTGTAATGCACAGCATATATATAGTATAGTAACTATAGGAAACTATACTAAATTATATATTTGAAAATTGCTAAGAGTAAATCTTAAAAGTTTTTATCACAAGCCAAAACAAAATAACTACGTGAGGTGATGAATGTTAACTAAATTTATGGTGGTGATTGTTTCATAGTATGTACATATATCAAATCATTATCTTGGGCACCCTAAACGTACACAATGTTATATATCAATCGTATCTCAATAAATCTGGAAAATAAATAAAGTTGGTAAAGTTTTGCTCTTGAGTGAAATCATATGCATGTTTGCCATGTTGTTATGTTGGTCCAGTGCCAGACAGTGATGAAAATATGCTTCTCTGGTGTTTGGCCTGTACCATGAACAAGGAGCATGTAGTAAATACAAGTCTGAAATGCAGGTAAAAATTGTGTACTTTGGGAGCCTTGATGTCAGTTAAGGATGCAATTTAAGAAAGGAAATACTCTGAATTCATTTTCTATGAAATAGTGAATTACCTAATAATTAATATGATGAAACAGATTTTTGATATTATGTATTATTTTCAGTAAATGAAATGAAATTTAGCATCTGAAAATTATAAAGACCTATTCAGGTATTTGAATGTCAGTGCTGAAAATGTGAATTTCTTATCAATCAAATGATACACCTCAGTAAGAGACTTATATGTGATTGTGTGTTTTATTTCATTTCAGATTAAGTCTCTCAGCAAAAATCTGTGAGAAAACAGTCCTGAAGCGAATATTGAAAGAACTATGGAAGCTAGTTCTCAACAAAATAGAAAAACAAATTGTCCTCCCTCCTCTGACAGATCAAACAGTAAGTATTCAAACTAACATTTGATTATGTTTTCAGTAGCCCATCTAATTGTTTTTTGTTTCAATGAATGGTTTTGATCCAGACGAAATAGTAATTAAATTCATTTTGGGAAAAAGGGTGTGATATACAGTGTCTTAGCAATGATCATTCCAATGACATCACCTTGTACAAATCAATTTTTTTCTTTTGCATTATGGCTTATTACAAGATATTGAATATAGTTCCCAGTGTTAAACAACAGGATCTTGTTGTTTATCCATTCTATATATAATAGTTTGCATCTGCTAGTCCCAAACTCCCAATGCAATCCTCCCGCACCCCCATCACAACTCAATTTTAAATAGTGGCAATAGCAGTCATACTTCACACTGGCTTGACATTTCAAACGTTATCTCTTGAAAAACAAATGCATCAAAGCTCAACTTGTAGAGTTATCTGGTCTACACATGTAATTTTTATTTAATTTTATTATGACCCCCCCCCACCCCAGGGAAATAGATTTTTGATAGAATATGCCTGCTGTGTTTCTTTCTGCAATTTTACAGTTGAAGAAGATAAAGCCAGCACTGCTATCTGGAATTTTTTTTACTTTTCCCTTTTGCTTTAATCTATCACCTTCGCCCTTGGTGGCTAATACAGGAGACATCTTTTAGTGCGTTTGAAGAGTGTGATTGTATCATACACAGTGAAATCAAAAAAGAACCGGAAAGATCAGTTGGCAGCAAAAGTCAGACAGTGGTCAAGTGGATACCCCGTCCAGCTAACTCAGCATATCCTGAGCCAAGCGAGGAAAGAAATAACCCTAATAAGCACCTGCTATGGAATAATTTTTTTTGTCTGTGACTGAGGACGATAACTTGATGCAAATAATGAGTAATTATAAACTAAACTAAAATATATATTGACACCATTAATCATGCACACTCAGTCCATATTTATCCAGTGAGATTATATAGAAAATGTTTTCTTGTAAAGTGTTCCAAGGTGCAAAGATTTATATGTTTGTGTTGATTTACGGCCAGACAGTGAGTGTTAAATATAAATCACTTTGAGTTTTGCTTCATGCCATGAGTGTATGGTATAATCATTATAGCCTACACGTGTGGGTAGCCAAATCACATACAGAAACACACACACACACACACCCCCTATTCTGCTATAACTCGTAATGCATTTCTGTAACACCAGTTACCTGTCATTTAATTTGCCAACAGAGGAATGATGTCAGTGCAATGTGCAAGTCGCGTTGCTTTATAAGTAAATTTTTCTAGGTGAGAGGCTTGGGAATATAACAGAATAGCCATATACTTCAGCAGAAAAGGAAAGAGCACTCAGCTTGGCTGCTACACAGGCAGGAGCCCTTTCATCCTGTTTTTAAAAAGATAAAAAAGAGGAAGGGGGCATACTTGCACATTGGTCTGTATCCAGATACATGCACCTAGCCTCTCACACATGGCAGGCTACCCTGTCCCTGCGCTCAGAGCTCCACTTCTACAGGCATTGTCTCAGCCCACGTTATACTCTATTGTGCTGTCGTTTGGCAGTTTTTTTACATTTTTAATATCCCTCGAGGTAGCCACCAGCTTCACTGAGCTCCCTTTGAGCTGTTCATGCTGTCTCCCAAAGTAGCATTTATTGTTTTTGATAGTTCTTTGGTAACAAAATTGCATGGACTTTGCACTGCCCCCTCCTATTTTCCCCCAAAGCCCTACTATTTCTAATGCACAACTTTATAGAATATGAGTTTTTTTCAAGACTACACCTATCATGTTATAATAGCAGAAGTGCTGTATATGACATTTCATTTTTTGATATAAGATCTTCCCTAGGAAAGCTAACCATCACCTCAATTTTCTCGAACATCAAGATCTCCAAGTGTGGATTTCTCAATGACTATACAGAGGCTCCAATAAAAACATGGAGACTACTACTTCAGAATAGCTGGTTTTCCTTATTGTGAAAACATTCTAGGCTACTGTTGAGTATTCTAGCAGTGCTTCTGATGTTTATTCTGATGTTCTTCAAGCTCTCCCCAGGGCCTCGGGGTACTAGGGAAAACCTCTGGCTGAGGGAGGAGTTACTAGGGCAGGGCTCTGAGAGATTGGATGGCATGTCAGGTGGACCAGCTCCACCTTCTTCAGCTGTGGATCTTGACATTTTGCATAGATTTATTTTGGGCGGGGGGGAGTGGAGTGAAGTAGTTGCCTCTGCTACAGATAAAGAAATTAAAGATAAAGCTCTCACTAAACTGGATACACTAGCAGTAGCCCATTCAGAAACTCAGACTAAAACTTCCAGAAGTAGGATGCCTATGAAGATAGTCGTATTGCCAGCAGTACTAGATATCTTTGATCCAAGCTGTAAAATAGACCAGTTAAGGGCTTATGGCAGTAAAGTCAGAAATATAATAAGAAAACTAGAGTACATTGTCTATTGACTACATTTCTACTTTGACTGTTACTGAAGATCTTATGACTGAGTCCTCTTCTCTCCTTTTCTATGCGTGTGTCTCTAGGGACCCCAGATGATTTTCATTGCAGCTAAAGATCTGGGACAACTATCCAAACTGAAGGTAATAAGAATAAAGAAATTACTAGTTGTCTATGAAAAGTAATGAGCTGACTACAACTCTGTGAGAAACCAACCTCCTCTTAGTAATGGTATTTAATATGGCAGGACTATAGGAGAATGTGTGTCTGGGATCTCACAACCTGCTTTAAGAATGAATCAGATCAAAATTTAGGGACTGAATTGGTACTGTCTTCTTCTCCCCACACTCCGTATTTCTCATATTTTCCAATTCGTAGAGCAACTGGGAATTTTTGACTTTGTGTTGAAGCATGAAGCATTACTGCTTTAAATTAGACTAAATTAGAGAGCATATTTTCTTCTCTATAGTAAACTGACTTTGTATGAATAAAGGCAAAGAATGCTTCATAGAAATCCAGTAAAGTCTAGAGAACTCTTAAGGTAAGAAACCTAATGCGGGAAAATAAACTCATCAAAGCAGACATTGAACTCGTCGACATAATCAACCCCATTATAACAAGGATTTGCTGTATAAATAACCTTACCTTTTATTATCGCTTGAGACTCACAAGACTTTGCAGTTGTGCAGGGAACCTCAGGTTTTTTTCCCCTCTGGAATAGGAACTTGATTGGTTAAAATACATATTGTGGTTCTGTGACGGGCTTTTTTCGCTTAGCATAATGTCCTGCAGGTTCATCCATGTTGTAGTACATGGCAGGATTTCCTTCCTTTTAAAGGCTGAATAATATTCTACTGTAAGTGTATACCATGTTTTTTATCCATTCATGTATCAGTGGACCACATATAGGCCAACATTGTGCCTGTAGCTGAAATATTTGTTCCTGTTTCATTACTACCTATTAGAATATAGTATAGCATGGGGGTGGGTTCCAGATACTGACCACCTTGGCTCAAATTCCACCTCAGCTGCTTCCAAATACGTGACACTGCCCAAAGTATTTAACCTAATTTTCAGATTTGGGATTTGTAAAATCCAGACAATGTTAGCACTTGGTTCAGAGAATTGTTGTGAGGATAAATGAGATAATGCATGCATTATCTTTGCATGGTGTCTGTCAAGAGTATGCCACCTCCCACTCACAGAGGTTATCTTGCTTCCTCCCTCAGCTGGCAGCTCAGGGTTAGGTATCACTGGCACTCTTTTGTGTGTACAACACAGGCAAAGGATAATCCATTTGACTGTATAATTACTTACTGAGATAAAATAGGTGCCTTATAATGTCAGTACTTTATTATATCACCTTCATTATCCCCTTTGTCAGAAAAAATTAAAAGCCAATAATCCATTTAGAAGACATAACCGTGACATAAAATTCTCACAGGTATTCAGTGATGTTGGTGGTTCAGAGGGAAAAGTAGAAGGTAGATGTCACTGTCAAACTATCGTTTTGGATCTTGGATCTTCATTGCTTTCTTTATCCCTCTTATTACCTCCATGACATTTCTAGGCCCAACTGTGAAAAATGGATTTATACAGTATTGAAGTTTCTCATAGAAAACCATGAAAGTGAAACATCACAGTGTCTTATTACAAAAGAAATAGCCCTGGCTATGTGTCTAGCATTCTGTGTGACATCGGGAAACGTATTCCATCTCCCCCAGTTTCAGTCTTCTGAACTGAATGTTTGTTATATCAGCTATAACTATTTCAGTTTCAAGTGATGGAAAGCCAGACTAACAAAAGCAAGAAAGGAATTCATTGCTCCATGAAATTTTATAGTCCTGGGATAACTCTGGTTTCCATCACTGCTTGATTAGGAAGTCAAACAATGTTACAGAACCCAGTTACTCACTGTGTCTCAACTCTGCTCATTCCTTGTTTGACTTACTGCCTGAACAAACCTCCCTTCCTGTTTGTAAGATGGTTCTCTGCTTATATCTAACATTTTTGAACTTGAAATCTTGTAAAAAAAAAAAAAAAAAAAAGAACATCCCCTTGGTGTAAGGAATTCCAGCAAAGTCCACTGGCACATCATTAACTCTAATAGAATATTATCACCACTCCCAAGCCAACCACTGTGGCCTGGGGAATGGCATATGCTATTTGGCTTAATTCACATACCCACCCCTGAGCTGGGGGTGCAGGCAGCCCCGTTCAAATCTTACAAACACTAAATGGGAGAGACTGGATCCTCAGTGGGCATATGCACGCTACTTGGGAAAAATCAGAGTCCACAGAAAACATCACACTTTAGGTCCCTTCGTGGCCTCAAAATTTCCTCAATTCAGTGAATTCTCTTTTGATTATAATGAACTAAAAGCAAATTATGAATAAAATGTCCTAAAAGAGTTAATTCATTAAGACTGAAATAATCTGAAGGACTAAAAATAGATTCGTGTTATCCATAGGTGATAGAAAAATAACTTAGTTTTAAATCATGTTTTCCAATTATTGTCCCTTGATTTTTAAATTTTTGGTCCATTTAGTTGTTATTATTTGAATTACAGAGCAATAAGCCCTTTATCTAAAAAATTAAAACTCTAGCCAAAACACAGAATTGCAAATTTTTTAACTGAAGTTGATTTACTGTGTTGTGTTAATTTCTGCTATACAGTAAAGTGATTCAGTTATACATATATATACATTCTTTTAAAAATTCTTTACCATTGTGGTTTACCACAGGAGATTGGATATAGTTCCCTGTGTAATACAGTAAGACCTTGTTGTTTATCCATTCTATATATTATAATGGTTTGCATTTGCTAACCCCAAACTCCCAATCCATTCCTCCCCCAACCACCCCTTGGCAACAAGTCTCTTCTCTATGTCTGTGAGTTTGTTTCTGTTTTGTAGATAGCTTCATTTGTGTCATATTTTAGATTCCACATATAAGTGATATCATGGTATTTGTCTTTCTCTTTCTGACTTACCTCACTTAGTATGATGACCTGTAGTTCCATCCGTGTTTTGCTGCAAGTAGCATTATTTCATTCTTTTTTATGGCTGAGTAGTATTCCATTGTATATATGTACCACACCTTCTTTATCCATTCATCTGTCAATGATATTTAAGTCATTTCCATGTCTTGGCTATTGTGAATTGTGCTGCAATGAACATAAGGGTGCATGTATCTTTTTGAATTGTAGTTTTGTCCAGATATATGCCCAGGAGTAGGATTGCTGGATTGTATGGCAACTCTATTTTTAGTTTTTTGAGGAACCTCCATATTGTTTTCCATAGTGGCTGCACCAACTTACATTCCTACCAACAATGTAGGAGGATTTCCTTTTCTCCACACCCTCTCCAGCATTTGTTATTTGTAGAGTTTTAATGATGGCCATTCTGATCTGTGTGAGGTGATTCCTGATTGTAATTTTGATTTGCATTCCTCTAAAAATTAGTAATGTTGAGCATCCTTTCATGTGCCTGTGGCCATCTGTATGTCTTCTTTGGAGAAATGTCTATTTAGTTCTTCTGCCCATTTTTTGATTGGGTTGTTCGGTGTTCTATTGTTGAGTTGTATGAGCTGTTTGTATATTTTGGAAATTAACCCTTCTCAGTCACATCACCTGCAAATATTTTCTCCCAGTCTATAGATTGTCTTTTCATTTTGTTTATGGTTTCCTTTCTGTGCAAAAGGTTGTACATTTTTTGTTTTTTATTATTAACATCTTTATTGGAGTATAACTGCTTTACAATGGTGTGTTAGTTTGTGCTTTATAACAAAGCGAATCAGCTATACGTATACATATATCCCCATATCCCCTCCCTCTTACATCTCCATCCCATCCTCCCTATCTCACCCCTCTAGGTGGTCACAGTGCACCAAGCTTGTCTCCCTGTGCTATGTGGCTGAAAAGCTTGTACATTTGATTAGGTCCCATTTCTTGGTTTTTCCTTTTATTTCTATGGCCTTGGAAGACTGACCTAAGAAAACATTGGTACAATTTATGTCAGAATGTTTTGCCTATGTTCTCTTCTAGGCAGAACTGCAAATTTTATAAAGCTGTTTTCCCATATTTTACTAGAATGTCACTTTCAATGTTGTTTTTGTTTTCATTTTACATCATGGGTCTTTTCATTTTCATGTATTAATTTGAAAGCATATTTGATCCATAGGAAAAGCATCATTTGAAATAATTGTATTGATGAGTAAATTCAGAAATCCTATATAGAAATATTAACAAATGACTACCTTATAGAAATATTAACAAATGACTACCTTAGAACAATGAGGGAAACTAATTGCTTTTCTGCATGTGATTATGATTTAGGATTAATTCATTAAGCAAACATTCAGATTTTGACATAGTCTATATTACTTCATCCTCTGGAACTTTATAATGTATGTATATTAAGTATGCCCAACTTATCACTATTTTCTGGTATCAGATTTATTTGGCATAACATTTTTTAAAAAATGAATACATCCTTATGGACAGGTGATACAATATCAAAACCAGTTAGTAAAAATACATCTGAGACTATGAATTTACTGCAGGCAAGGAGTAACTCATTACAAGACTTTTTCAGAGACTACCTTATTTCAATGAGCTATTGCTAAATCCCAGAAAATCATTTCTTGCAAGAATTGTATTTTTCTATAGCACTAACATATATTATGTATTAGCATCTATTAAGAAATAATCTGACCACATCAAGAAGCCAGTCAAGATTGATGAAGTCAGAGAGAGTTATTTAATATAAAGTAAAGCATTTCTCTCTATAATTTGGCAAAAAATTTCCATCCTTTTTTGGGGTCTCAGTGGGTAGTTAATATTCTAACTACCCATTTTTGAAATATTTTAAAAATATTAAATGGACTCATATGTTTGTGTTGAAATCCCTACATCAGAGAAAGAGGCAGTGAGATGCAGAATTGTATATCATGGATCCAGCATTATACCATGTTTTCAACAATATTCAGAGGCGTGTGATTCCATTCAAGCATATTGAATCATTTTAGGATATGCTGAAGAAGTACAATTCAATTACCAAAAACATATTGAGGGCCTGGCAGGTGATAATTGCCAAGATAGGCACTGAAAGTCTGCAGAAGTGAGTAAAACATATAGATTATCTTCAGAAAGTCATGGCCTCTACTAAATGACAAAGACAAAGGCTAGAATAGAAGGATGAGCCACTGTCTGTGACTGTACAATTTGTACACTGCACAAAACTGTCCCACTAAGGGAGTGAATGACGGCCGAGTTAGGGACCATGCAACACTTGCTAAGCCACATGTATTGATGTGCAGCTGTGCCCCGTAGAAAAAGAGGCACCTCTTATTACTAACCAAAAGCACTGATCCCTTGACCAAGTCATGCATTCTCAGAGCTACATCAGCTTTCCTTCTAATTCACAAAGAGGCACTTACATAAGTTAGAATTTAAGCTCCAGGAGGACAAAAGTCTTTCTTTTATGAAATAATATATCTGTCACCTAGAACAGTGCTGGCACATAATAAGCACTCAATAAATATTTGTTGAATGTTGTTGACATAGAATAGTGGATGCCCTGGGGAGATTATATCAATATGGGGGTCAGGAATTTCTAAATTTTTCTTTTAGACAAAATTCCTTTATTGTTGTCTTCAACTTTCTACCATCATCATTTCCCTAAAATAGTTTTAAATAAAGAGAGAGTTCATAATGAACAATGAGGAAAATGCATTGTTAATATGGAAATCAGTTCCAAAATACTGAAAAATGACTTTAAAATATAGAAAATCTCCAGAGCCGAAATCAGTTAATTCTTTAGGAATTTTCCTGGTAATGACTAAGCATTAAGTGTATCCTAGAAAGAAAATAAAGTGGGAGCATTAAAGTAGGTTTTATCAGTGATAATTGAATTACCTCCTAAATCCCTTACATGATGGACCTTCCTCTGTGTGACAGAACAGAAAGCAGGAATTAAGGTGGAAAAGCTTGGACACACATTTTCCAGGTTTATCTCTTTTTTTTTTCCCCTATCCTTAGCTTACAGGTGAAAAATAAAGCCACCTATGAATCAAAGCACTGCTTTTTAAGTAAACATTTAAAAGCATTTTAAAATTAAAACATTCAAAAGCATTTCTTCTTTTGGCAAAATGGATTTTTATTAAATATCTGACAAAATCATCCTCTAAAATGTGTTCATATGAAAAAGATATCTCAAATGGGAAATATCTGCATACAGGGATTATATACAGATTTTGTTTGAAAACAGTTGTCAAATAAATGAACTGGTAATTTTATAAGCAGTTTTTCACTTGTTTTCCAGGAGCACATGATTCGAGAGGATACCAAGGGTCTGACACGGAGACAGTGTTCTATAATGGAGGTGGTCCTGGCTACCATCAAGGTAAGGTTATAGTGTCCCTGGATATGGATCCAGAGTTCTCTGTGTACCCTCAGAGAAAGGTACCCCCATGTGCATGTCTGTAGAGCTGTGCCATCCATAGACACAGCAGACAGTTGTACACGTACATTCCGGGAGTGTGTCAGACTTAGGCCATACTATGTCATTATTACATCCATATTGCTCTGCCCTTAGAGTTGTTTCCTTTGTCTACCTTTAGAAAATGTGTTTGAAATCTGTGTTTAACAGGTGTTTTCAAAGAAAGACATGTACCCCCAAAGCCTAGTTAAATAGATACTTCAGGGGATTTAGGGTTAACAGAATTTCTGTTTGTGTTTTCTATGCCTGCTGAAATGGTTTTGGAAAGATCAATTTTCTCTTCTCTCTTAGTAAGGACAATAATTTAGTTTTCTGCTGAAAACGCAAAGGCATTGCATTGTGTGCATCAATTTTTCATAGCCAAAGGTTGACCAAAAGTTATTGGACTGTGGGCTAAATATAGGCAGATCTCAAAACATAACTTAGAAGTTCTTTGTTTTCATGTGATTCTTTATAGATTTATATACATACAATTTATATTTATATGTGAAAGTTTATTAAAGAGTGAAAAATTAATTCATCTCCTAAATTTGGACTGTGTCCAATGTCTCAATACTTCACTTGGGGAAGCATCTGTTTTCAAAGATGTGTGAATAGTGTAGCAAAGAACTGTGAGCTACCACAAGCCATTTTCCGAGCACAGAATAATCTCACTGGATAGAAACAGACACTGCAACGGTAGTCATTAACAATTGGACACCTTCAAAACACTATTACTTCATGACTTTTGTAGTTTCAGCATTTAATAAGGGGACATCTGTGTCAAAAACTGCAAAATGAAATTTGTGAGGTGACTATTTTGTGACACCTGGTGGAATGTGGCAAGTGTGAATTTCAGCAGTGAGATGACAGTGATGGAGTTTCTGAAGATGCAGCCAGAGTATGGGCTGGAGGTATAAACATTTTTCAAAATCATTTTTTTTAATGGTAAACATGAAAAAAAAGGAAAAAAAAAAAAACCTGTTCTTTTTGAAAATAATTTTCAAAAATAGGAATAAGAAATGACTGACCCTATGGAGTTATAGAAGCACTAAATGGCTACAAATAAGGAAGTGATAGTACAAAAAATAACTCCAAGGCACACCATGAACAGTAAAAAAAAATAATAATAAGATTTAAAAAATCATAATTCAGCCCTTCATGGATTTTATAAGGTCAATGGATGACTCTAAGAGACAGCACCAGAAAAATATGTTCTGTGAAAATAGAGAATGGCATTCAATGTACTGACAGGCCTGGCTCCTGTTCCTAACCCCAGCATTTCTCTAATTCTTCTTGGTGGGGACAAATGACCACCTCCTGCAGGACTAGTTCTGCCCAAACTCTGGGACAATCCTGATCCCCAAGCAGATCCCCCTGATCTACATGTTGACAGCTCAACTATCCCATCTTCCTTCCCAGGTCATCCAATGATATTTTAGTTCAGCCTCAGCCACCAGACACTTGCCTTGCTCTTTAGGAAAAAACTACTGCCTGGTATCCAAGATCCAGCAAATGAATCCATGTCATTATCTTGTTCTCTAGGACCAGAGTCTGACCCTGGTCCTTCTGAACCTCAGAGTCTGAGGTCAGGTCTTCAGCCTCCTTATTTCCCAACTTTTTCTCTGGGGTCCCCATGCTGTACCTGCTTTGAGACCCTTTTATCTTTTCTGACTCTGAGATTCGCCCTGACTATACTACAAGGCACTAACTGTAATGTTGACTGCAAAGGAATTCAGGAGAAAGAGGGGTACTACTTAAAAGAATTGTAGCCTCAAGAGCTAGTGATTCAATGTCTGCTGGGAGCCCAGCAAAGGGAATACTGTAAGGCAGAGACTTCATGAGAAAGATATTATACCGAAGCAGTAGATGCTACCCAGGCTGCCAAAGACATGATCCTTAAGTCCTCTTTAGCTGAATTTAAGCAAATAAGCTGGACATGAGAAAGTGAGAACTGAAGGAAGAGAATGCTATGGAATTTGTAGACTATAGACTGAAATAGTGTGTGCATTATTTCAGTCATCTTTCGTATACGTAAATTCTCTCTCCTGATCCTTATAAGCAACTTGTGTGTTAGGTACATCAAGAATGATCATTCACATTTTACAGATGAAAAAGCAGAGGCTAAGCAGATTTAACTTGTTTGCCTAAGGCCACAGAGTTGCTTGTAATTGGCAGAGCTGAGAAAAGATTCCAAACTCTAAAATCAGTGTCCTTGCTTCTGTTTCATTATTTAACTAAATGTTAACAAGGTGTAGGAAAATGTAGCAAGCCAAAACAGGTAATATTCCTACAGGGAGATAAGTTCTTTTTAAATTAAAATACTGTATTTCAATTATTTAGTTTTCTTTTTAATTATTTAAAATAATGTGAAATCCTTCAACCTCTACACAAGTACCAATGAAAATATTAACTTTCTTAAATACTAAAATTCTAATTGGACTGGATTAGTCATACCAGTTGCAGGTAGTTTCAATTGTAAGTTAAAAGGATAGAACATGGCACAAGAAACAGAATTACAATGATCTGCCGCAGCTGGTGTGGTTGGCCTTTGAGACATTACATTTACCTGCCAACACTGAGCCAAATCAACAGTATTGAAAATAAAAGGACAAGGCAACAGCTCTGAAACAGACAGCTAACAACTTAATCAGTATGTGCAAGCTGCTACAGAGGCCAGTGGAGAAACCCTATTTAAAGTTGAGCTTTTGAAGAACTACAATCCTGCATCCTGTGGACCAAAAAACACATTCTCAGAAACTTAGGTAAAATTAAAAGGCAGAGGACTATGTACCAGATGAAGGAACAAGATAAACCCCCAGAAAAACAACTAAATGAAGTGGAGATAGGCAACCTTCCAGAAAAAGAATTCAGAATAATGAGAGTGAAGATGATCCAGGACCTCAGAAAAAGAATGGAGGCAAAGATCAAGAAGGTGCAAGAAATGTTTAACAAAGACCTACAACAATTAAAGAACAAACAAACAGAGATGAACAATACACTAACTGAAATGAAAAATACACTAGAAGGAATCAGTAGCAAAATAACTGAGGCAGAAGAACGGATAAGTGACCTGGAAGACAGAATGGTGGAAATCACTGCTGTGGAACTGAATAAAGAAAGAAGAATGAAAATAAATGAAGACAGCCTAAGAGACCTCTGGGACAACATGAAATGCACCAACATTTGTGTTATAGGGGTCCAAGAAGGAGAAGAGAGAGACAAAGGACCCAAGCAAATATTTGAAGAGATTATAGTTAAAAACTTTCCTAACATGGGAAAGGAAATAGCCGCCAAAGTCCAGGAGGCACAGAGTCCCAGGCAAGATAAACCCAAGGAGAAACACACTGAAACAAATAGTAATCAAATTGACAAAAATTAAAGACAAATATTAAAAGCCAAATTGGCAAAAATTAAAGACAAAAATTATTGAAAGCAGCAAGGGAAAAATGACAAATAACATACAAGGGAACTCCCATAACGTTAACAGCTGATTTCTCTGCAGGAACTCTACAAGCCAGAAGGGAGTGGCACGATATATTTAAAGTGATGAAAGGGAAGAACCTACAACCAAGATTACTCTACTCAGCGAGGATCTCATTCAGATTCAATGGAGAAATGAAAAGCTTTACAGACAAGCAAAAGCTAAGAGAATTCAGCACCACCAAACCAGCTTTACAACAAATGCTAAAGGAACTTCTTTAAGTGGGAAACACAAGAGAAGAAAAGGACCTACAAAAACAAACACATAACAATTAAGAAAATGGTAATAGGAACATACATATCAATAATTACCTTAAACGTGAATGGATTAAATGCTCCAACCAAAAGACACAGGCTTGCTGAATGGATACAGAATCAAGATCCATATATATGCCGTCTACAACAGGCCCACTTCAGACCTAGGGACACATACAGACTGAAAGTGAGGGGATGGAAAAAGATATTCCATGAAAATGGAAACCAAAAGAAAGCTGGAGTAGCAATACTCTTATCAGCTAAAATAGACTTTAGGGGCTTCCCTGGTGGCGCAGTGGTTGAGAGTCCGCCTGCCGATGTAGGGGACGCGGGTTCGTGCCCCGGTCCGGGAGGATCCCACGTGCTGCGGAGCGGCTGGGCCCGTGAGCCATGGCCGCTGAGCCTGCGCGTCCGGGGCCTGTGCTCCGCAGCAGGAGGGGCCGCGGCAGTGAGAGGCCTGCGTACCGCAAAAAAAAAAAAAATAGACTTTAAAAGAATGTTACAAGAGACCAGGAAGGAGACGACATAATGATCAAGGGATCAATCCAAGAAGATATAACAATTATAAATATATATGCACCCAAAATAGGAGCAGCTCAATACATAAGGCAACTGCTAACAGCTATAAGAGAGGAAATCGACAGTAACACAATAATAGTGGGGGACTTTAACACCTCACTTACACCAATGGACAGATTCATCCAGGCAAAAAATTAATAAGGAAACACAAGCTTTAAATGACACAATAGACCAGATAGATTTAATTGATATTTACAGGCCATTCCTTCCCAAAACAGCAGATTACACTTTCTTCTCAAGTGCACACGGAACATACTCCAGGATAGATCACATCTTGGGTCACAAATCAAGCCTCGGTAAATTTAAGAAAATTGAAATCATATCACGCATCTTTTCCCACCACAACACCATGAGATTAGAAATAAATTACAGGGAAAAAACGTAAAAAACACAAACACCTGGAGGCTAAACAATATGTTACTAAATAACCAAGAGATCAATGAAGAAATCAAAGAGGAAATTTAAAAATACCTAGAGACAAATGACAATGAAAACACGATGATCCAAAACCTATGGGATGCAGCAAAAGCAATTCTAAGAGGGAATTCATAGCAATACAATCCTACCTCAAGAAACAAGAAAAATCTCAAATAAACAATCTAACATTATACCTAAAGGAACTAGAGAAAGAAGAACAAACAAAACCCAAAGTTAGCAGAAGGAAAGAAAATCATAAAGATCAGAGCAGAAATAAATGAAATAGAAACAAAAGAAAACAATAGCAAAGATCAATAAAACTGAAAGCTGGTTCTTTGACAAGATAAACAAAATGGATGAACCTTTAGGGAGACACATCAAGAAAAAGAGGGAGAGGACTCAAATCAATACAATTAGAAATGAAAAAGGAGAAGTTAAAACTGACACCACAGAAATACAAAGGATCATAAGAGACTACTATAAGCAGCTATATGCCAATAAAATAGTTAACCTAGAAGTAATGGACAAATTCTTAGAAAGATACTACCTTCTAAGACTGAACCAGAAAGAATTAGAAAATATGAACAAACCAATCACAAGTACTGAAATTGAAACTGTGATTAAAAAACACCGAAAAGGGTACCCTCCTACACTGTTTGTGGGAATGTAAATTGATGCAGCCACTATGGAGAACAGTATGGAGGTTCCTTAAAAAACTAAAAGTAGAACCACCATATCATCCAGCAATCCCACTCCTGGGCATATATCCAAAGAAAACCATAATTTGAAAAGAGACATGTACCCCAATGTTCACTGCAGCACTATTTACAGTAGCCAGGACGTGGGAACAGCCTAAACGTCCATTGACAGATGAATGGATAAAGAAGATGTGGCACATATATACAATGGAATATTACTTAGCCATAAAAAAGAATGAAATAGTGCCATTTGCAGCAACATGGATGGACTTAGAGATTGTCATACTGAGTGAAGACAGAGAAAGACAAATATCATATGATATTGCTTGTATGTGAAATCTTTTTAAAAAATGGTACAAATGAACCTATTTACAAAACAAATAGAGTCACAGATGTAGAAAACAAACTTATGGTTACCAAGGGGGAAGGGGGGAGGGATAAATTGGGAGTTCGGGACTGACATATACACACTGCTATATATAAAATAGTTAGCTAATAATAAATTACTGTATAGCACAGGGAACTCTGCTCAGTACTCTGTAATGACCTATATTGGAATAGAATATAAAAAAGAGTAGGTATATGTATAGGTATAACTGATTCACTTTTTTGTACAGCAGAAACTAACATAACATTGTAAATAAACTATACTCCAATAAAAATTAATTTAAAAAATTAGAGTATAACTGTGACATTCATGCAGTTATAAAACTTGTCCAGAGTATTATTTAACTCATCAATTAATGAGGGAACCAGTAAGATCTTATAAATGGCGCAGAGAAGATTTCCAAGAACCACCCATAAAGATAAGCAATGAGGAAAGCTGAAATAAATTTACAAATAGAGGCAAAACAGATCTAGCCACAAAACAGTCATCAGTTGCATCCCACCAGAAATAATTAATTTGCATTTCTGACAACTCTCAGTTGCCAAGAGATTGTGAAACATCATTGTAGCTGCTGCTCGTTATTCTTCCTGTACTTTACTAATTTAATTCTCCAGCACTTATGCTCAGGTTTGATAAAACTGAAGTTTGTCTGGGAAACATTGAGAGAGAGAATGCCTTCCCCTCCACAGATGCCACCTAGTCCTAGTTCAGTTTATCCCACTGCTCTTTACAGTTAGGGTATGTTATTTCATCTGATACTTCCCTGGGTCATTACATAAACAGAGTTCCAGAGCTCACCCCACCACTCCTCCAGGAAAAACAATCAAGTCCAAGTGAAACCTTCCCCTCTCAATACACTCATTTAATATTTTTCCACTTTAAGTATCATATCACCTTTCCTAAAGAAAGGAACGCTGATAATTTTTTTCATCCACCAAGGCCCCTGAAACAATTCCAGACTCTCAGTCTTCAATAAGTACTTTCTACATATGAAAATATTTTAACATTTATATAAGAAGATCAAGGTAAAGAACAAGTTTAAATATTACACCTTTGTCGACTCTTCAAAAATAAGAAAAGGCTCTTCCCATTTTGCTGTGCCTCCTCTTCATAACCATAGGTAGCTTTAGGTGCAGCTTGTGTTTCCACAGTGCGCCCAGCTGGATTGGAAAGGAACTGTAAGTGGCCATGGGTTTTTCTTTGGGAGGAGGGTGTCTGCAGTTGTAACAAACTTTCTTCAGCTCATATCACCATCGCCTACTTCCTCAGGCCTGTGCCCTTAGTCTTCTCTACATTACGGTCTCTGAAATTACACTCAGATGCCTACAAATGCTCAGAATGTGTTTCTACTTAGGGAAGAAAACTAAGACAGTTATGAATTTTCAGTTCACCTTAGAAATTTTTAAGAAGTGGGATAGAGGGATAACATATATCCATTTAGAAGAGTGTATCAGAATCATTTGTTGAGCTTTTCCAAAACATGCCATTCTGTGAGAATCCTAGATTGTACGAGGCAGGTTGCAATGAGGGTGTAGTTTAGCTTTGTTGGTACAGGGAGAGAGAGAGAACCATTTATCTAACATTAATAGAATACTATAAACACATTATCATCTCTAAATGGTTGGGAAATAACATCCTTAGTCCTATCACGTATCTCTAGTGAGTCCTCCAAAGTGATGCCTGTGCTTAATACCTGCAGCATTAGAAATGCTCATATCCCTCAATCACATCATTTATTGTCAAATATATATGTTCTCTATTACCTTACCTATAAATATTGCAATGCTTTGAATTTGCTGGACGACAAGAGCAAAAAAAGAAGAAAGAAACTCTGTGTTTCATTGCATTTCTCAGACACAAGGTTCAGGAGATGTTGGATTTCCAAGGACCACTGTGTATCCTCAGGTTGGCCTGTGTGTGCACCATTGTGTGATTAGATCATGGGGAAGATGGGAGCAGTGGGCACCTGTCCTAGAATTGCAAACTAGTATCTGGAAAATACATGACCAGGAGATACCTTCTTTATGAAATTTGACAACCCTGGATGTTTTTCTCATGTTCTGGAAACAGAAGTCAACAACCAAGTTGACACAGTATCTAAACCTGGCATTCTGTAAGCACGCTGGCCACTGCATCTTCATGATCCCATTTCTTTAACTTAAGTATTGAATGAGAGGAAGAGTCTTAAGCTGCGAGGATCTGATGTCTGTGATGCAGAGCAACACTTCAGAGATACTGAGGGAACCTGAACTACACGGTGATGACTTGGCAGTGGCCATCTGGTGCTATTTCTTTGTATCTACCTCATGTTGATCATATTGTATTATTCCATTTGAGCCTCACGATTATGGCAATAAAATCCCTCATCTAATACTTCTTTCTAAATGCCTCTGCTTACATTATTTTTTTTTCTTTTTAGCAATACTTTCATGCAGGAGGAAATGGCCTGAAAAAGAATTTCTTGGAGAAAAGCCCAGATCTTCAGTCTCTGAGATACGCTCTCAGTCTTTATACCCAAACAACTGATGCCTTGATAAAGAAATTCATAGACACTCAAACCTCACAGAGTAAGTAACACATTGGATGTGAGAATAAGTAAACTGAACACAAGTAAACTTCAACATAGAAATCATTATAAATAATATCTCTAATTTGACTATAATAAATTAAAGCAGCAATAAGAATGGGTAATTATTATTCATAGAAAATTGCCCAATCTTTAGCAAATTATTTTATAATTTCAATAACACTGGGATATGCTCAATACTAAAACTATATAGAGTGGTTGACCTTTGCTCTTGATTCTAATTTCGTAAAATTTAGTAAACCCTAGTTTTGAATATCCTTAACTGTGATATTCTAAATTTAGAACAAAAGACTTATTGTTTGTTGGTCTTTGTAACTTCCAAAGTAAGAGCATAATTCCCCAAATCCTGACTTCAAATGCAAAAATCTCCTGCTGTCGGGTTTTCAGGAGGGCAAACTCATTTAATCCTAATTTTATATGAAAAAAATTTTAACTTTTACTTTGAAATGAGCCAAGAGCCAAGTATTTTATTGGAAACTCAGATCTGTTTCATGTGGCAAAGTTCCCACCTCATAAGCTTCTAGGATATTACTGTTAAACAACCTTTCTTTCAAGTTGCTTTGTGATTTATTATATTTTGGTAATTCCATGTATTTAAGATCTGGCATTTCTCAGAGATTATTGAAAATGTCCCTCTGAGTCAAAAAAAAAAAAAAAAAAGCCATATGCAGGCTCAAACTCTAGAACATAATAAATTGCCTCCCAGATATAATAAAAAGAAATAAGAGGACACTATCTTCATTCATGAGAGTTCCTTCAAAGGAAGCATACGGATCTTTTTCCTCGGATGAACTATGTTTCGTCATGGATATTTTCATTTTTCTAATTACATGCATGGAAGATAATGCCAAGGTAGGTAGGTGCTAGGTAGGTGCTTGACCTGTCTTTAATATTATACTCTGCGCTTTCTGATAGTATCCGACTAAATGCTATAAATACTCCTTTTAATGTGATCTTCAAACCCAGCTTACATTTTAGGATGGTTCCAGAAAGGAGAAAAGAGTTGAGTCATAAAGCCTTGTCAAGATATACATTACTCCTTGAACCCATGATCCCTCAAGGTTTTCTAAACTGTGTAAATATGAATGCAGTTCTAACACATCTTATCAGAATAGTGTCGTTGCTTTATTCCCAAAGAATGTGAGTGTATAAAAACTTAGCTCTGCTTTTACAGGTATACATTATGTGTATATACACACAACCCATGTTTCAACATAGATGTTACACCAAAAAAACTACATATGTGTATCAATTGTGGTCTATGGAATTTGGCACACGTGTTGATTTTCTTTTGTATGAATTGTTTGGCAACATCAAAAATAAATAGCGGGGGGGAATAAGAGGATTCATAATCCTAATAATCCCTGACAACATAACTTATTTTCGTCTTGGTGTTTTTTCTTTTTTTTTTTTTCTGCTGTATGCAGGCCTCTCACCGCTGTGGCCTCTCCCACTACGGAGCACAGGCTCCGGACGCGCAGGCTCAGCGGCCATGGCTCATGGGCCCAGCCGCCCCGCGGCACGTGGGATCCTCCCGGACCGGGGCACGAACCCGCGTCCCCTGCATCGGCAGGCGGACTCCCAACCACTGCGCCACCCGGGAAGCCCTGTTTTTTCTTTTTTTACTCCTTCTTTTTTTTTACTTTTCTGGCTTTTTCTAAGTACACATTTTTTTTTTTTTTTTGCATAATTGAAATTGGTACTCTATGGATATGAAATGAAATGAAATGAAATGAAATGAAATGAAATTTCTCTGATAGTTACCTTCAACCATGCTGGGTGGAAACTATGTCCATCTCCTCCCTCCCTCCCTTGTCATCCCTCCAATTGCCCCCCAGCTCAGCATGATCAGGCCCAGAGGACCTGAGGTGTGAAGGGGACTTGAAGTGCCCTTTGCTCCCCCCGTCCCCATCACCTTCTAGACCCCTCTCTGCTTCAGGGTTTTGGGGGCAGACACTGAAGGGGCGGAGGGTGATGTCTTTCATGCCCCCTGTACAGCTGCGTCCAGTACCTGCTTCCTGAGGGCCCCGTGCTAGGGATCCTCCTATCTGCTCAGCTCCCTTAAGGGAGCCCTCAGTTCTTGCCTCCTGCAGCACCTACTGTGGCTTCCTGCTCCTTGAGTGTCTGCTCCTAGTGTCCAGCCCTCTGGAATGGGGTCCCAGACAGAAGGCTGCCGCCCAGCTTCCTCCAGTGGGGCCCACCGCAGCTCATATATGCTTTCCACGTCTGTGGTGATAATGGGGACTTCTCCACTGTCACCTGCCCTCTCTCTACAATTCTCCTTTCTACCTGCTCAAATACTTATACTTTCAAACTGGGGGGAGGGGAAGAGGAAGAGAGAAGCACTGCTGCCTAACAGAACATAACCATTGTTCAATCAAAAACAGAGGCGAGCCAAGTCTCATCAATTAATGGATGCAGTGTTTCTGAGTTTTTATCCAATTCCTTTCTTCCAATTCTATCACAATCCTATTGCAATACTCATTACCATAGACTGAATAATAAAGTTAGCAACAGCACCATATCCCTTATAAAATAGGGGAAGGAGAGATAGAGGAAAATTCACTGAATGTTAGAATTCTGTATGACATACCCCAAAATAGAACATATTAAAGGATGCAATCCCCATTTCTATAACAGTCCCTAAAGTCAGGGGTTGTATGTATGACTTCCAAATGCCCAGGGCCAGCCCATATTTCCTTTGGCTTCTAAGGAACCTCAACTTCCAGGGTTCTTTAACTGACAGAGAAACATAGAAAAGTTGAATTCTCGAAGTTCTTATTTACATGGGCTGCTCTACTCTTCTATGAACATTTGATACGGGGTGTGTTGAAAGAGAGGAACTTGGGTGCCACCCCTTGGATTCCTTTGGTATCCTCCCTGCAGATGCGCATTTACAATTAATAGTAGGAGCAACTCTCCCTTTTTTGTACCTGCTATCCTAGTATCAGGAAGAGTCCAAAATGACCAAATGAAGTCTCAGCTTCCAGTGTAAAATTCAAGTAATTTTCTAGAACTTGGCTCAGTACCAAATACCCGTGAATATTGTTCATTTTTGTTAATCTAATTTATATTTTGTTAATATAATTTAGAAAGACCATACTGGTGTTATGGTATCTTTCAAATATAAAATTTGAAATGGGAGCTAGTGCTACACACTGCAAACCCCTGCTACCGTCTGCCTGAGGAGCCCCATTCAGGGTAAGCTGGGCTGTCAGACAGTTAACCCCCAGGAAGCAGCCCTCAACCAGTGAAAGATAGGAAGCTGGCAGATTAAAAAACAGACAAAACATCAGCTTCCTCAGTTGGGACAACTCTAAAATGAATTCTACGCAAACTCCAGAGTTCCCCTGTGAGATGAAGCTTCATCCCTTCAGGGAGGATGCCTTCCCAGATGGACCATTTACCATGGAATGCTTGTCTCAACTCTCTGCTGGAAAGTGAGGATCCAGATTCCAGGTCACCTCTTCTACATCTAAATCCTGTGCACTTAACCATTATGCCTGCATCTTCTTGATGCTAATTAAATTATAAAAGCCAAATACCCTGAATGAATTTTCCCCATTACTTGAGCTTTTTCTCTCATGATTTCTTAAGTTAAGAATACAGAACTAATTAGAGAAACTCAACTTATAAAGTAGTGAACATTATTTGGAAGCAAATTTTACACATTTCATTTACTTTATGACTGACAAAACACAAACTGATTTTTTGTCTCCTTCATTTCTAACTCACACTCTACAAGTATTAATGAATCATCATTCAAGCGTTACTTAATCAACATGTTGTGTAAAAGAACTTGGAATCCTTTAGAAATTTAACTGTGCTTTTTAAAGCATCCATATTTTGTTCTCATATTCTCATAAAATCTTCCCTTACTCCATTTTCTTCTTTCCCTCTCTCTTGTTAAAATGTTCTTTCACATCTCTTTCTCCTTTCTGTTTTTTCCTGATATGTGTTAGCAAATTAATTGTAACATTAAATATATGGGGAAAAACAATGAATAATTAATGAATTATTTTTCCACTGTCTTCAAATTGGAAGACATACTTTCTTTAAAAATATTTTTAATTCAGTTTTTACATAAATGGGCTTGTGCGTATAGAAAAACCTGCTGTATATTGCTCACTTATGCTTTATTTTATTCCTCTTTTATTCCCTTGCTCCAAGCTCTCCATTTTCACCTTCCTTTCCTCTTTCTTTGATCTCTTTTTAGAATAGATTTAGATGTCCTCTTTCTCCAGTAATAAAAAAAAAAAAAAAAAGGGATAGCGTTTCATTAGAAATTTATGAGCACAGAGTTCAAATGAAATCCATCAGTTTGGAAAAACACTGTCTTCTCTCCTCTTTCTATTCCAAATATTGGAAAAATAAACAAATGCCAAATGGATAGAGAAGTATTCTTAAGTCCTCAAGTGAAACTGAGAGTTCGATTTTTAAGAGTATCATGTTTATTAGTCTAGCAAGGTGCTGCAGTAAGAAAACACCATATTATGTTGCATTCACTTAACAAATATTTACTGAGCATCACCTCTGAATAAAGTCCCATACCATGGGGCATATATTCAAAGCTGAACATAGCGTTAGGTACACCAGGTGCTCTAATATGGTGGTTCTCAAGCAGAGGTGAATTTGTCCCCCCAGGGCAATTAATTACAAATATCTGAAGAGCTTTGGTTGTCTCATCTGGGAGTGGTGGTCATGTTACTGGTATCTAGTGGGTGGAGAACAGGGAGGCTGCTAAATGTCTTACAGTGCACAGAACAGTCCACAACAAGAAGTTATCTAAAGTCTCCAGGTGGCAATAGTGCTGAGGTTGGGACACCCTGCTCTAATACTAGACTGAAACAACATGAGAAGTGATGTAACATGTCATGTTAGAAGAGGGAAAAATTTGCCTTGGGAAGACCGGAAAGGCAGAACAGTCAGTGGGAAAACCGAGTCATGAGGAGGTAGAAAGAGGAAGGCATTCTGGATTCA